TATCCCGCCCGCAGGGCAAAGCCTGGCAAGCTACCTGTGACATATTCAGTATGCCAAAAAACAGAAACAAGTCTCTCAATGGAGATGTTACTGGTGCCTGCTCGAGCAAATCGATGAACAACAGGGGGGCAGTGCCACAGTGCAGCCCAGACCAACAAAGCTTGAACCACCCTCTGAGAGAGATGCATCAGGAACAAAGGTCAAGAAAAGGAGTATTCAAAGAGGATCTTGACCACTCCCAACTCCACTACCCTTAGTAACAAACCTAGCAACTGACTTTTAGATAAATCTTATCTAAGATAAGACTCTTAGATAAGATTTTTCTAGGTAGCTAGAAAAATCCTATAAAAGTCACCTTCCTTGAGCCAAGAAAAGACTCGCATATGCTGCCCAAGCCCATGTCCTGCTTGTGCCTATGTGGCCCATCTCCCCTCCTGAGATGTGTACTTTCATGCTTCCGTATCCAATGCTGAGATGTGAGTAGGGGCTCTCTCCACCTTTGGAGAAGACTCTCTTGAGTGCATTACTCTCACTTTCTCTTCCTCCTTCTCCTTCCTAAAACCTCCAAATAAAATCTGTTTTACTTCATTGCTTGCCTACTCCTGAAATTTTCTTCTGCAAGATGAGACAAGAATCCTGAAACCCTGTGAAAAGACCTAGGACTACTTTTTTTTTCTGCAAAGAACAAATTGTCTCTCCAGCCTGAGCTCACGACTCCCGAGAAACTGTGTGGTGGGGATCAACTCTAGTGTCTAGACAATCAAGCAGATGTCAAGTGTGGCTTGACGGCCACATGGTGGCTCTGGCCAGGGCTCTGACCTGTGCTGGACAAGGCCTCATTGCAGACTTTATCATTCCTAGTCTTCCCAGCCAGTCCTGGGGTGGCAGAGGCAGATCTCCTGAATGTGACAATTTCTCTCTTTTCTCGGCTTCACGTAAGTCACCTGTGGGGGGTCTACCGACTTCAAAACTTATCTTTGCAATCTCATTAAACCATTTGTTATTTCCACAGTAAATTTCAGTGTATATTTTCTACTGTTCTTCTCTGGTGCAATTCTATTCGAAATAAATAAGAGAAAAAGCAAGTGATGCAAGAAAGAAGAAGGTGCCAAGATTTGTCATTGCCCCAGGTTGTGTCTACGTAGGCTGACTGACTCAAATCAGGTAAAGACAAACATGGGTGCACAGAAAAACATACAATTTCACACCAAAACCTGCAACTTGTTATGTTCTGCAAACACACAAGATCCTGTTTTACAAACTTACAATATTTGATAGATTCCATGATTTTATTTATCCATCAAGCATCAACTCAGGATAAAAATACAGAGACTAGGACTCAATAGCACATTCTATCAAGGTCATTTCATAAAACTCATTTGGAGAAGGAACAAACCATAACACAACCCAACAACTTAAACAGAGACTTTTCATCCACATTAACACAAAACACAGTTATCTTTTGGAAACAAATTAAAGTGTTTCACCTACAATTTGATCACCATCGCCAGTCCCCAAAAGGGAAAGTGATAAAAGTTTTGCAATACTAAATAATTCCATAGTTTGATCACATTGATAGAACTACATAGACATGTTTTCTCCAACTCCCATAGGCAGTTGTTTTAAACAAAATAAAACAAAAACAAATTGTATCTAGACAGGTTTATCTGAAACACTTCTCCCATTCCCCTTCCTTACCTGGACTGCATATCTTGCTGGGTTTTGTTCTGACTGGCTTCTGCCTGAGGGGGAGCTTGAGGGGCCCTCTGCTGAAGCTCCACCAAGGACTGATAATACTGCTGCTGGTGATGTTGCTGCTGCTTGTAGCGAGACAAACTGAAAAACAGCCCTAGAATGGCTTTTAAGTTTCCATTTCTTATTTCTGTATCAAATGGGAAATACAAAAACAGGATCATATGAAACAAATTTTTTTTAAACAAACTCTAGATGCAGTTCTTTAAGACTGAATCTCTGCATTCAGAGACTTGATTCAATTGCAGATTCAAGCATATCTGAATTTCTGATACATGTTAATATATCTAAGTAGCTTGGAATTTTGGGGACAAAGTGAAGGGAGGGAGGGCAGAGAGAACAAAGCTTACTCAACAGATGATCTTTGCTGATTCTCTACTACAATTTTTCTAGAGTTAGCTTATTCTTGGAAGTGGATGGGCTATGAGGCGTATGCTAATCGTTTTATTTAGTACTCTGCTTCCAACACAAATACACACAGCTGTGACCAACATAGCAGTGACTATGTACTGCAGAAAGTCACTTACATGTTGGATGTTCAACATTATAAATACTGGCAGTGTGGGTTTACCTCATAATAACAACTGGATTTAATTAAGGTTAATGTTCCTTCTAAAGCATACACCAAACAATGTATTATCTAACATATTACCTAATATCAGGTACTCAGTTATCTAAAATCTAAAATTATTTGATTTTATCTATCATGTAATAAAAAAATGTAAAAATTAGATGCAGAAAGTCAGCTCCAACATGAGTCTAGCTTTATTTGTGGTTATAATTTAAAAGTTAGCAATATAGAAATAAAATTTGAACTGTAACCGATAATCATTTTAATATACCTTTCTATTAGTAATAAAATTCATCTTCCTGTGAAGTCAATATTCCATATCTTCTTTATTAAGTTTAGAAACATTAATTAATTATTCAGATTTCTTGTTAGCCCCGATGGATTGTAAGCTTTCTCTGCTAAGGATCTTTGCTGATGACCCCCAATTATGCAAAGAAATTAGAATATGAAATATGTCTTTGTGTTGCTGTTTTTAATTCTTTTAACACCTACAGTACAATTATAGACTATAACTATAGTATATATTACACTATAAATGAGTGACTTGACCAATTTAATGCAACATTGTAAAATATTCATTTTCTCCTGTAAATCTGAATAGTATTGGGGCCAGAGAAACAGGTTTAATCCCAGGTACCAATCCCTGCTCACAATGATTTTTGAATGCAGCGTCTGGATTAAGACCTGGGTACCACTGGTTGAGGCCCCAAACTCAAACCAGCATAAAAACCCTGAGCAGTATCTTAAAATTTTTTATTTAATCAGTCTTGTTTGTTTTTATTTTAAGTTGGTCACATTTGCTATACCCATTCAGTGCTCAAATAAATTGGAAATATCTTCAGTCTTCATACGATTTTAGAAAGTAATAAAAAGAAATATGTTTCTATTATAGAATTAAAATAAGAAAGAAGAGATAAAAAGGAATAATTAGTAGGTAATGTTTTTGACCTTTTTTTAATCATTTGAAAGACATCCTTGGGAAATTTATTTCATGTTGTTCAAGATAATGAGAAACACCAGTTAGGTGGGACCTAGACATTTTAGTCATAAAATATAGAATTTGTTATTATATATAACAAGAGTCAAGAAACTTTTAAGTAAAGGAAATTTTACTATAGAAAAATTAGGGGAGAATACATAATTCTATTAAGTGCCCAATACATTACAGAAGTCACAGTATTTTTTTCTGTAATAATAGAAAAATTTTAAAATATAAAGTTGGCCAGTATTTCTAATTTCTGTGGGAGAAAGTTTTTTCATAGCAGACTACTGTAGTAGAAATATACTGTTGGTATATTTAATGATGTCTAGCAAACTTTTAAAAACAAAACCAATTTTTGGGCAGAGACTTAGCATAGGGGTGGCCTTACATTTGGCTTCTATAGTTGAATTCCTGCCACAGCAAATGGTCCCCAAGCACTACCAGAAGTGATTCCTGAGCACAGAGTCAGAAATAAGCTCTGAGCATTACCAGGAATAAACCCATATCCATTTACAGTTTTCAAGCTAAATATAGTTGCTGAAACCAGGTCCTTATAATTTTCAGTTTCCTAATGTTTTTGTTGCGAATAGTTGAAACACCTGTAGAGGTTTCCTAAAAATATGCTAAACTCAACTTTCTAAGTAATTATATTATTAAAATTGAAATCATCAAAATATTTATATTATATCTAATTTTTTAAATTTAGAATGAAAAATTAAACAGATGGAAGGAAAAATAATAGGACTATAGATGATGGATAAGAGAAAAGAGCAAAATTTTTTAAAATTTGTTATTTTTGTTTGTTTGTTTTGGGGATATAGCCAGCTGTGCTCAGGGCTTACCCTGGCTCTGCACACAGGAATCACCTCCTGGTGGTGGGGATTATACATGGTGCTCCAGCTGCGTGCAAAACAAACTTCTAAGCTCCTGTCACTCTACAATCACCCTGGCCCCTATATTTTTGTTTTGTTCTTCTTCTTCTTTTTTTTTAATATGGTGTGTTTATCAAGGTATGGTAGGTTTTACAAACTTCTGAGCAAGTTATGTGTGGCAGAGAAGAAATTCAGAAAACTCTATGACAAAAGTAGTTTGACATTTTTTTCTTTTTTCCCTGTTGTTCAATTTTAGTGATAATCTTTTAAACATTTAATGATTGTAAAGCCTTTTTACAAATTGTCATTAATTTTGATAAAGATAATGAACTAAGAATAAATAGTTATTATCGACACTCAAGTATATTTAGATTGTTTCTACCAAATAGAAAATACTTACACATCAATTTTAGATTTTACCTGTACTTTTGTTACCTATTATCCAGCAGTATATATGCATTCCTCCATCTACTTAAGACTTTGAAAATATACTTGTAATAAATCAAAGATATTTTGTTGAACTTCACTTCTTATATGTACTTAATCATGGAATATCCGTTTTAGTAAAATAGAAAAAGACATTAAAATATTTAAACTTCAAACCACTGCACATACATTACTTTTCTCTTAGAAATATTAAGAGTCCCCTATGTTGCATTTAGTAGCTATATACTCCCACTTTACATTTCTGACATTAAGAAAAATCTTTCACAAACATGGATGCCATTTGTGACAACTGCTTTTTCTTACCTTCAGCAGATAGACCTTGGACATTGACTCCTCTGGCTGCTAGAAAACTAAGGCAGACATCAACATTTTCAATCTGTAACACGAAAAGCAGTGAAAATGAAACTTGGTCATTTAAAATTCAGTAAATGAGCAAGAGTAAAATCAAAGAAAAATATGATAAAGAATGAATGCTTTACATTCATTTCATACTAGAGATCTTTACCAGAGTTTAACTAGAATTATTTCAGCTAATTGTAGACTAGAATACAAGGCCCTCATTGTTAAATTTGGTACTAACAGACAATTCATAAAGGCCTGGTCAAGAATGGCATTCTTGCAGATTAGCAACCCACCAATCTATAAAACAATATTTTGTGCTTTACAGATATGTCTCAACAAAAGCATCCATAAAGAAGACTGTTGCTTGTGTGATTCTGTAAGCCTTAAAATGTTAAAGTGTGAATGATTAAAATTCAAACAGTATGACTTTGTAAGTATGCCAAATAAGAACTATATAGACAAATGGTTGAAAAAAAGAAAAGAACTACTGAAGGCGTATCTCCATCCTAAAACTCAAATTTTAAATCTTTAGTCATAGTGCATCCAAAAACTAAAATTTTAAGTCTTCAGTCAGGTGGCAAAGGTTTGTCGGTTTTCTGTTTATTTTAGCTTGACTGAATTCAATATTTCTAAGTGTCTTCCATGCCTTGAAGTTAATTTCATAGTTATTGTTTTGCCTTTACTGAAACTGCAAAATAGCAATAGCCCACTAAAGCCTTGCTTTTACTCTTATAATTCATGAACAGGATATTTCATTAGATGACATATAAATGGTTAATAAACAGAGTCTATGTTTGAAGAATTTTAGGCTACAAATAAAACAAAACAAAATGATTCTTAGATTGGGTATTAAAGAAGAACAGATTTTCTTTCAATATGCACCATAAGTTGGAGAGGAGAAAAACAGGTTTCTCCCAGCAGAGAGAATAAACATAGGAAAAACATATTCTATATTTTTATATGTCAGAAGTATTCCACTTTTTGTTATGTTTCTTTATATTCCTATGTTATGTTTCTTTATACTCATTTATTATGAGTACCAACTGTTTGAGATAATTTACTTACCTGTTATTACTATAATAATACTACTTTATTTACTCAAAATATTTATTTACTCAAGATTTGCTATTTGACAAAACTAATTTTTTTGGGGGGGTCACACCCCATGATGCTCAGAGGTTTACTCCTGGCTCTGCACTCAGGAATTACTCCTGGCAGTGCTTAGGGGACCATATGGGTTGCTGGGAATCGAACCCGGGTAGGCCACGTGCAAGGCAAATGCCCTACCTGCTGTGCTATTGCTCCAGCCCCACAAAACTAATGTTTTGACAGTATTAATAGAAAACCAAAGTAATATAACTTAAGAAAATAATAGGCTTTCCCTATTTAGATTCAATCATAGCTGTTAGTATCTATGCTGTACTTTGTACAAAGCAAAACCGTTACAATTAAACGGCTTTGACTATTAACCCCACCCAGAGGAATATGTTAAATAATTTGAGACGACTTTAAAAATATTTAATAATTATTTCGTTAATGATTATTATTTATTTCTAGAGATTAGTTTCTCATAATTCCTGCTTTTTAAAAGTTTTTTTTGTTTTTATTGGATTGGGGAGTCACACCCAACAGTGCTTAGGGCTTATTCCTGCCTCTCCATTCAGCAATCACTCTTGGTGAGACACAGGGGGCATATATGGTACCAGGGATCAAACCTGGATTGGCTACGCGCAAGTCAAGAGCCTTACCCACTGTACTGTCTCTTCATCCCTAGTAATTCCTACTTTATAAAAGGAATACATTGTCCTTAAACATCTTCAAGTTAAACAGTCCTATAACGGCTATTTTAGTTAGCAATTGTTTTTATTCTGAAAAGTAAATGACAATTTTTCTTTAATCACAAACTTGTAAACTTTTATGGTCATAGGCACAGATGAAATTGTATGTTTTTCCATAAAAATAATTTGAGTCAATTTTTAAATATTACATGAATATAATACAAAACATACTATTGATATTTTGTAACTAGCAATTGGACATCAATTTAGTTAGAATTTAATACTTGTATATTTTCTAAAATTTTAACTAATCACTTAATCACTTTAGAATGGCCTTGAAGCATATCACCCAGTATAGACTTTAGAAAATATAATGGGGAAAAATACTCTATGGAACAAAGCTTTCAGCTAATAAATGAAGTCACTATGAGGCTTTCTACTATATTGTCTATCTAATAATATATTAACCAAATATGTATCTATTTTATATACTTTTAAACCTGGAATCTCAAAAAATATTCTCAGGTAAGAAAGATCAAAATCATAAAAAATAAAAAAAAAGTTTTGTATAAAGCACTCTAGGATACTGATCACACTCATCTCTCATAGAAGGGATAATGTACCCCACGTCTCACATTTACTTTATAGTTCAGACCATGTATGATACACAGTAAAGACGATTAATGCATTTTTTTCTGAGTAGATAGTACATTTTGTTGACAAAATGTAAATTGTATACCTTAACTGAATTTGGCCCAGTATTCTGGTCACTTTTCTTAATAAGAACAAAGTAGAAAATGTTTTTATCATGAGAAAAAGATAATTATAGCAGTTGATAAACCAAATCCTGCTGATAAGCATGCTGGTGAGAAGTAGAATTGTGAGAAATAGAATTGTGAGAGGAACTGTTAAATCCTGAGCTCTTCAGTGACTGCAAACATGCATATTGAAATGAGTTAAAGGAAATACCATTATATTTTAGTTTTAATAGAAAATATAATTAAGAGAATTCCTTGACTTCAAGCCCATTGAAACCATTTTCCTTTGATCATTTTATTTAACAAATGAAGTAGAATCTATATATTATATAGCATGAGTTAGAGGACTCTGGAAAATCGTTCAAATAAGTACTTAGAACAATGAACTGCACATAGGAAAAACTCAAAATGATAGAAAAATGTACCTATGGTTAGTATAACAGTCTTAAAATATTAAAAACTTAATGGCAATAGTGTAAAATAACATCTTAGGAGCCTGCAAAATAGTACAAAGGCTAAAGCATTTGACTTACATGCAGTCAATCTGTGGTTGAATCCTTAGAATTGGTTCCTTAAGCACCATCAAAAGTGATCTCTGAGCACTGAGCCAGGTGTAAGCCCTGAACACCACTGGGTAAGGCCCCAAACCAATCCAAAAATAAATAAACTAGCATCTTAACTTTTTGTTTTGCTATTAATTGCAACTTTTCTGATAATTATTTATGTCACATTAACTATGTTTTATAATCTTTTAATTGAAAGTTTTTTTAGACTTTGCTACAAAGTAGAATCACCTGGGGAATTTTAAAAGCCAAACACGCCAAATATATACTACATCAGTTAAATCAGAATATTGATGCATAGGAGATAGCTGTCAGAACTTTTTAAAAACCTAAGCGATTTCAAACCACACTAACACTTCAGAATTGCAGTTTTAATCTAGTTTATTCAAAGAAGAAAAGAGTATGATGATTCAACTCTATCCATGTGAATTATAATTACACTGAACACTGTCTTGTTTATTTGCACCATAAGACTATTTAATTCCTGTGTTTTATACTATACCATGCAGTATTAAACATATATGTTTTAAAGACATAATGCAGAAAAAGTTAATTCTTACCCATTTGGTTTCAGCAATAATCATATTACTCATTTGTTTTTTGTAATAATCATCTGTAGCTCATGAAAAGTTATACCCAGGACTTTTTATGGTCTATGATATGTCATGCACAATTTCTTGGGTCTGTCTACGTGTAACTTACATTTTACTAGCACTGATATCCACAATGTCTCTCTAATTTTTTTAAATTAAGAATGTATGAATCACTACAAAAATATTGATCTTATAAAAATGTATATAATTTACATTTTAAGAAGTTTTAAAATATACACTGTTTTAAAAGATACACTGAAGTTTTGTACTTTTTGAGTCCATAACAAAATGTAAGGCAAACGCTCTACCCGCTGTCCTATCGCTCAGGGGTAGGGCGTTTGCCTTGCACGCAGCCAACATGGCTGACCGGAGTTCGATTCCTCCGCCCTTCTCGGAGAGCCTGGCAAGCTACCGAGAGTATCTTGCCCACACGGCAGAGGCTGGCAAGCCACCCGTGATGTATTCGATATGCCAAACACAGTAACAACAAAATCTCCAATGGAGACGTTACTGGGCCCGCTCAGCTTGAGCAACAAAATGTAATCCTCATAATGACAAAATCCTAAAAAAAAATTAAAAAAAGAACATAATTGGGGGGTTAAAAGCACTTATCTTACATGCAACCAAACCTAGTTCAAACCCCAGCACTGAATATAGTCCCCTGAGTACCACATGAGTAATCCCTGAACCAAAGATAGGAGTAATCCCTGAGCTGTAATCCCTGAGCTGTAACCCCTCAGCTGTGTGACCTATACCCGGAAAATAAAATATAAAATAAAACCCCCATTCACAGTTTTGTTTCAGTTAACTTGGAAATAGACTATTCTGTGTACTTTCTGTGTAAAGGTACTAAATTCAATAGAAACTGGTACATATTTTTAGACCTGAAGAATTTATGCTAATGTAATTAAATATTAGTATCTTAGAGCATTACACTTTCATTTTGTTTTGTTCTAAAACAAACAAATACTTTTCTTACTCATTTGTCAAGCAGTATATTTACTTTATGCTTGAAATTGTGATCAATATTGCAGATATAACTTTCAAGACAAAGCCACTCTACTCAATTTCTAATGGGTATTATCTAATTTCCAGCATCCTCACTACTTCTTTGAAAAATGACATGATTTTTCAAACCAGAAATGCCTTTGCTTAACTTCATAACTATATTTATCTGAGGCAGGGAATTGCTATATATGAGCCTATCTAATTGCCAAATTACATTGCTGTGTTTCAAATGAGGGAAAAAAGAATTTACTTACCAAAATTTAAAATGATGTTTGTGTTTGTAACTCAAAAATTTCTTAAATGTAAGAATCAATGTATGTTCCTAATATATTAA